AACCCTGGAGGGCAGGGAGGTGTGACAGATGGTACCCCGGATAGAGGCAGTCAATGACCCGGGTCAGCCTCTGCTCTCCACCTATTTGAAGTCTGAAGGTCCCAAAGAAGCTGCTTCTCCTTTTCCTACACCCTAGCTTTCCCAGCAGCAAGACTAAAACCCTTAATATCTGCAAAACTAGTTGCTTGAAGAATAAATGACATCATTTGTAGAAAGTGTTCTGTAAACTGAAAAGTGCCGCACACAAGGTGAAGGATTTTATGGAACTCTCCACAGAAAGTGCGGCTTTTTAAAGAACCCAGCTCCTGTTCAGAGGTTTTATTTATTTCTTAAGTGTATTAAAGTGCCTGAAAATAGCCACACATCCATTATTAGCTGAACACTGACCAGATCTTTGTCTGGCTAGACACACCCATCTGACATCACTACATCACGCTCACACAACCTTTCAGTTCCTGGAGAAAGGGGGAAAGGAAAGCAGCATGCTACAGGCTTGAGAACCTGGAAGGAAATGAGGCTGAGAAGAGGAAATGGAAAAATGGATGTGAGTTCTGGCACACACCATGCTACTGAAGGAAGCCTTCTCCTTCTGGCTTTATTTATACTTTGTGGTTTGTAACTTTGAGGAGCCTAGAATTTCATGATACCAGCGCTTTGGAAACCCTCCAGCCCCCCCCCCATTCACCTGATAATTCATCCACTATCCAAAGTCATTAGATCTGTCTCTCCCCCCACCTACCTCCCCTCCATTGCTGATCCACCCCTATCTCCCTCCCTGTCTCTGTCATCTATCCATCTATCTATCCCGTCTATCTATCCATCCGTCTGTCCGTCAAGTTCATCACTAAACAGCGGGTTTATAAGTGACTGAGATTCGTGTGTCACTGGAGTATAGTTATGAACGAGACGAGAAACTGCCTGCTCGTGAGGCCCTCGTGCTGGTGAAGGAGTTTGGCCTCCAACGGGACGGTGATGTGTAAGTATGGTGGTCCCGGACTGCAACTGCCAGGAAGAGCCCTCAACAGACGACATGTTCTAGAACCCGACAGAGATGGGGAACTGGATTCCTCAAAAAGGACAAGAAAGGCCTTTCAAGGGAGATGGCATGTGCCCCGGGAGTCACATGGTGGAAAGTGTCAGGTGTGTGAGTATTCATCATGAGCAGCTCAAAGTATAAATGCAGAGGCCCAGTGACAAAAACCAACATGAGTCCTTCACAGAAAAGGAGGAGGAGGGAAGAGGAGAAAGACAACTCACTGCCTCAAGTACCCAAAGACCAGAATGAAGGTGGGATAAAGCGAGGAGACAGGGGGGTACGCAAAGAGCCCACAGGTACACAGAGGTCACATCTGAGACTGCTTTCTAAATAGAAAGAAAGCAAAGCCCAGAGAGGCTAAGTGAGGAACCTAAAGTCACACAGCCAATGAATGATACAGCTGGCTCCAGACCCAAATTCTTTCCAATCTCTAAATCTTGAGTTTTCTTCACTATATTGATCCACTTGCCTCAAGCCATGAGAACATTCTGCATTGATGTTTCTGGAGCTTAAAAGCCTTTAGCATGCTGGAGCAGCAAGCAAATCAGGAGTAGGCAGGAGAACGCCACTAAATGATTCTGGTGGCTTGGCATGACCACCCCTCCTCCGCCAAGCCGTCTCCCTCTTTACTCTCTTCCTTCTCTTTTACCTCCTTCCAATACATTTTGATAGTCCTTGGAAGACTCACCAGGCAAGAGTCAGATGTCCCAATAATCTATTAGACACATGCTAGAAGAATGATTAAGAGTCCAGATTTTAGTCCAGTCCCACTACCTACTAGCTGTGCAACTCTGAGAAAGTTGCTTGACCTTTCTGTTCTGCAGTTCCCTCATTTTTAAAAAATAAGACAATGCTTTTCTCCTAAACTGTCAGCATTATGGAAATTAATATATGAGAAGCATTCGACTGGTATCTGGCACATAATTCTAAGACACAGCCATGGCCAGACTCTAGTCACCTGTACCTTCAGAAACAAAAGGTATGAGCCAGATCAGGTCAAAAAAGGCAGTTTCATAGTGTCCTGGTAACAGCAAAAATCAAACAGAACAATAACATAGTGTCAAATAAGAACTATGAAAACTGGCTCCTCTTCCAGAGGACCCAGGTTCAATTCCTGGCACCCACATGGCAACTAGGTAAGCTTCTGTAACTCCAGTTCCAAGGGGGATCTGATGCCCACTTCTGGCCTTCATGAACACTGCATGCATGTGGTACACAAGCAAAACACCCATACACATAAAACAAAATGAAGAATTTATTAAATAATGAAAATAATAAAATAACAAAAGCAAACCAGAAGGGGACCAGTGAGAGGGAAGGAGGAGGAGTGGGGTAGGTATTTAGGATGGAGAATATGATTATGAGATAACTATAATATGTAATATATAGTATATAAGTATAATATAACACATGAATGGAGCTGTCATTATGAAACCCATTCTTCACATGCTAACCAATTTTTTTTTAATTTAAAAAAAATATATCATGAGAATAATTGATGAGAATAGTGGCCTTGAAGCGCCTGGTGGCTCTCAAAATGCTGTTCTTTGTATTGTGGCGTTTATTTTTAGTGGCTATGGCTGTAACAGTAGGCGCTGCCAGTATACTCTTCTCTGTATCAGGCTGTGAAACACGGGAAATTCGTGAGAACCACTTTTCACGGGGGCACAAGAGGATGTTACAGAAATAAGTTTTCAAAGCCAGCATCAGTTACACAGTCCCTTGATGTTCCTAGCAGCAGAATTCCAAAAGCTATCTACTCCTACCCAGCCAACTGCTGCCCCCTGGGGACATCTCATCCTAGAATGCCCCCACTTCTCCTCACCAGACCTCCCCCAGCTGCATCTCGGGCCTTGGAAGCTCCACCTGGGTGCTTCTTTCACAAAACCTGTTGATTTTAGGTCACCAAGGCTTCTCTTTGCATCATCTCTTCATCCCAACGCCACCGTCTTGGCTAGTGCACTGTTGCATCTGGTCCCTAGAGTTGCATTCATCGCACGGCAATGGTTCTGAAACTTAGCTCAGATCACGTGACTCCGGCTTGACACTCTTCAAGGCTTAAAATAAAGACCCCTCATCTTCATTCCCAAACCTGACTCTATCACCACCAGCACCAGGGCTTTGGGGATCCCCAGCCACGCCTCACAAGCACGAGTTCCTTACGTTCTCTCTCCTCTAGTCTTGGAACACTGTTTTCAGCTCCTCAGATGCACATGTGCCTTCTGCTCTGTGAACTTTTATTCTGTGGTTCCCTCTAAGGAAGGTAGAGCCCCTTCTCACTGGCCAGGGGGCTCCCGCTCTAGGTGACGGTACCATAGGGGTACCACCATGAAAACCTCCCGGTCATCCTTTCCTCTGGCTTTTGCCAATCTGCTTGTTTTGTCTCAGACAGGGGAGAAGCCCAGGTTGACTTGGAACTGACTGGGTAGCCCCATGTTAATTAAGCTCAACCCAATGGAAATCCTCAGGCTCCCAATTGTGAACCACCGCACCCACCTTCAAGGTTTCCTATCAGACTTTCTTAAAGCCTTCTGGTGCCTACAGAGCATGCCACACTTTGAATTCCTAACTCCTCCCTGCAGTGACTAAATTTGACCCGACACCCACACTGTCAACTCCAAGAAGACACATATTTTGTGTGTCCCCTTCAGGACTCTTCTAGGTCTCTGACTGTGCTGGTGCGAAGCGTGTATTTGACAAATAAATCCTGCAATGATTGAAAAATAAAAGCCAAACCACCACGCTTCTTATTTTCAGAGATTTGGAGACCAAACAGAAGGCTGAGGCTGTACTGAAAGTGTTTGCAAACTGAAGGGCAATACCTCTTCATTCACTCTCCAGCCAGTCAATTCCTAGGACATTTACTTCACACATAACTTGCTCTCCTGGATCTAGTCTGGGGAAGAGAAGAAATGAAGTCATAAAGAAATTGAAAGGGAGGGACTGAGCTGAGCGGGAATTAGCTATGATCAAGATGTGTTGTATAAAACTGTCAAAGACTAAATAAGATGATATGCTTTAAAAAGAAGAAATTTAATCACATACACACAATTTTAACTCCAAGACCCATCAAGAGCTCCCTACCCTAATTCAGCCTGTATAGGAGCCGAGATGACTGGACACACTGTTTCAACTTGTCCTGTTCCAATACTGTTTACTACCAGTCATAGTATCTATACATTAACATCGGGGCAGTGGTCAAGGCCAGGAGTGTGGTACACCCACACAATCTCCCTTAATCCCTTTTACAGGAAGGGAAACTGAGCCCACATTCCTAAAAGTATACTACACCATTGTGTGCGTGGGCACACTGTAGGTCACTCCGTGAGCCCTTCCCAGACCCACCCTTGTAGAGGAAAACCACTCCCCACACCCCTTCTACAACCTGAGCCAAACTAGCCGGCAGGATTAGTAATAAGACAGAGCAAAGACTCTGGAGGCCCCTTGGGCTCTATTATGCTACATGTCCTGAGAGAGAAGTGCTACCCCAGGGACAGCTGCTGCAGATCTTAGCCTCACATGCTGCCAAGAAACCTGTCCCTCTGAGGACACGCGGGCCATGAGGCGCAGCTCCAGGTCCAGTGAGAGGCACCCCACCCATCTGCCAGAGAGACAAAGATCACTAGAAACAAAGGACACACACACAGGCACACGTACATGCACACTCACAAAGTCAAAAGCAAATACCAACACTTGGTACAATTTCAAAACAAAACAGCACTTGGTGTATCTTTAAATAGATTGTAAAACCATCCTAGAGGGACAACTATTGTGTGATCTTGACAGGCGCGATCTGGGTTCCGAACCCACGCTGCCTGCGCCCTCCTCCCACCCACGCTGCAGTTGCCAGGCGCATTTCCCAGCCTCAGGACGCAAGCTGCCAGGAGCAAGCCCATCCGCTCCTGCCAGTGAAGCACCGGCAGGTGGAAGACAGCCAGGATAGCCCGAAGTAGGTAATACCAACCTTTAGGATCCCAGTTCACCTGCTTTCTTGGCGTCTCGATTGGAAATTTCATTGCTCCGTTGCCCACAGGGGGGGGATGAAATTAAAAGAATCAAAATAATAATAATAATAAAGTCTTCAAGATTTACAACTCGTCGGTTAAACAGACCAACGGAACAATTTGTGAGGATGGAGGGGCATTGAAGTGGCTCGTGGGGAGCCCCAGAGAAAGACAAGCAGGGGGGAAAATACTAGCTGAAGGAAAGCACCGACCACTGGCTTGGTTGGGTGTTTGCACCGGTTAAGGGGGTGGCCAGCTGCTGCCCTTGTGGGTGAAAGAAAAAGTAAGATCGGATGCTGAGGGTGGTTCCGAGAGGATGGATCAAAGAGCCGGGCTGCTTGTGCAGAAGCGCGGTAGGCAGATGTGAGGCTGAGTAGCCGCCGAAAGGAGGCCGGAGAGAAGCCCACCGCAGCGTCCCACGGGTCCCCAAAGGCGTGTTCGTACCCCCTCTCTCGCGTCCACACACACGCACACACATACACACACATACATACACACACACACACACACAGGCGCGCACACACCCGGCCGCGCGCTCGGGGCGGACACGTCAGCCTCGCTCGACTGAGCACAGAGCACTGGCCCCTCCCCAGCCGCGGCTCCTCGCCCCCGGGCGACGCCCCCCACTCTCCACCCGCCGAAAGCCATTGGACGGAAGGGTGGCGCGGCGCCCCGGGGAGCTCGCGACTAAGGCGACCCTCCCCGTGGCGCGCTGCAGGTGCCGCGCCACTGCGGGAGAAAGCGGGGCGCGCGTGGATCCCGGACACCCGGTCTCGTCGCTGGGCGGTGGCGGACCTGTCCTCTCCCGGGCTGCGCAGAGACAGCGAGCCGAGGGCGCGGCTGCTACTTACTGGCGCGGCCGCAGCGTGCTCCGTGGAGTTGCAGCCGGAGACACGCTTGGCTGCCTGGAAGGCTCTGCAGGAGGCGGAGGAAAGGGCCTGCCTGCCGCGGCCCCACCGCAGACCTCGGCCTGGGGGGGGTGGGGGTGACCTCCTTTCACCGCTCCCACCCCGGGTGTCTGCTCTTTCTCTTTTGTCACTTCATTTTTGATACTCCACTCCCAGCTCCCCAGCGTGGTCCTCTCGCCTGAGTCCCGAACCTAGGTCTCCACGGCGCTCCTGAGTGAAGGAAGCTAGTACCAGCCATGAGCCTTTTGTTCTGGGACCGCTTGGCGTTGGCTGCGATCTCACCGCGCCTAGTTCCCCAGGCACAGCTTGGTTTCTTCCCCAGCTACCTGTAGCCGGACTGGGGCTCACGCTTGGAGACTAGGGAGATGGACTGGGGAGAGACTCTGAGGCCCTGGAGGAAAGTGGAGTTGCTAAGGCTCGGTGACTCTACTTTGAGAAGCTAAGGAAGTGGCCCGGGGAGCCCTTGAGAATCAGCCAATGGTGGCTGCAAGAAGACCTCAGCCCTGTTCTCAGAGAGTTAGGGAGATGCCCCACCCCAACTCTCCCCATCCTGGAATCCCTAGGTGGGTTTATGATAAAGAAAAGACCAGAAAAGGCTAACAGTGCTCGGGTGTTCTTGCAAGAGCCACCCAAGTATCCATATGAATTCTGCTTGTAAGTTCCCTGGGTGCCTAACAACAGAGACTGGCACATAACAAACGCTCAAAATAATTAATAACAACAACAGCAATAATAATAACATATGCTAAAAGGAAGTGTAATGTTTGCTAAAGAAAGGTTCAATTAGCACACTGTGGTGTTGAATAGGAAGCTCAACTCAGTCCCCTTGTCTTTAAGTAAGATTGCTAAAACCTCTTGTTTACTCGGCATCTACATACCAAAGTCCTTCTGTGTACCATCACTGAGCCAGGTACTGGCCACCTGGCAAAGGATAAGACTGATGTGGACCTCCCCTTCGAAAAACTAGTGCCAGGAGGTCAGATTGATTGTTACTGCCTTAACTTAGGGAAGAAAAAGTGACAACTGCCCCATTCCCAAGTCTGCCAACTGTGGTCCTAAAACTCTACACTAGCTTGACATTCAAGATACTTTTGAGGTTCATGGGAGACCTGGATCAATTTATCAACACACACACACACCTCTAGATCCTGGGGCAAGCTCTATGGAGAGAGCTATTGTTGGAAGTGCTTTGTCACTGACTCCACAGTCTGTGAGTTCTCTGCAGATCAAGTTCAAGGAAAGCTGGCACCACAATGAGCTGCCGTTCCGCCTCCTCAGCCCTTTGGATGGCTTCCCCAAGTGCATCACAGCGGCCTCCTCTGGGCTGTTTCCACGCTTTCCCCTCCTTGGACTTCGAGGACGAACAAGGCATGAACATAACGCAAACAGAGCTTCTGCATTGCCCAGTTGTGAGCTCCAGAGAAACCAGGTATGGCTAGGAATTCTGTACCCAAGCCCACAGAAAGGAGACTCTCAGAAGCACTTTCAGGCCTCACTCCGCCCTCTCCTCCCTGCATCTCCACTGGAATCAGCAAGGAATCCACAGAGAAGCACACCTCTCTAAAACCCCTTCAAGTGAGGAGGCAAAACAGCCTATTTAATGCAACTTCACCTTCCCCCCGCTCTCTTTCTCCATCAGCTTCCTCCAGCTCTCTGAGGATGCTCTCCCTGGCCTCTGTGTACAGAGGTGAAGACTCGGGGGAATTAAGAAACACCCCCAAGGTCACAGAAGGGAGATCAAGACCCCAAGACCCATCATTTCTATACCAAAACCTTAGGGTCCAGGACTGTGAATCTGACCAGATGTGTTGAGTAACGAAGCTGATCCAAATATTGAGTTATCCAAACCCCAGCCTCTTTCCCTTTCCATAAGGATCTGTGCTATCCTGCATTCGAGGGGGTCAACATTAAGGAATTCTATCACTACCCAAAGCACCACTCTTTGGAACAAACTGCAGTCTTCTGATGCATGATCATTCAGCCAATCAACAAACACTGAGCAGCCCTTATGTTCAAAGTAAGCTGGAGGTCTTTCTTAAAAGTAATTTTGACCTCTAGGTAATAAATGACCTCCCCACACCAATAGCTGGAGGACAATTATGGGGAAGCTGGAAGACTTGGGGCAGACCCTACAGGCCCTGGGAACAGAATTCATACCCATGCATAGCTGCTGGTTGGATTAAAGTCTTTCTCTGGCCTCAGGCATGGGGGAACATCTCTGCATTGAATCACTAGATTCCTTCTCTCTTACCTTTCAGGGGCCACTCACCTCTGGAGCATTCCCTCACCCCCACTCTCATTCTCAAAGACAAGTTTCTGAGAAGGGGGGACAAAAATAAATGCCACTACCTTCCCTGCAATGCATACGAAATTAAATGTTTATCTTCCAAAACTGAGATGCAAGACCCCCACCCCTCAAAAAAAAAGCACATTAGCCCATTAGCTAATTAGCACATTAACTCTTCATGCTCCCCCCACCCCCCTCCCCGCCCGCTTCCATCACAGTCAAGTCACATTGATTGGTTCGTTGTTTTCTTTTTTTTTTTTTTTTTTTTTTGGAGACTCATTCCACTTACCCAAAGGAGCAAGAAAGAAGTAACCTATGTAGGGAAAAAGCAGCCACAAAAAAGGCGGCGCGGAGTGGTTGGGTCTCGCTCTGCGCCACAGCAACTTCCATGGCTATCGCTGCGGGCCAGTTAGGTCTAGTGGAAAGAGCCCGCCTCGGGTTTCTGCCGCAGGAAAACAAAGCGTCTTGGGGAAAACCTCCCTGCGCTCGCTGTCCCCAGCCAGCAGCCCCTGGCTGGCAGCAGTAGCGTCCAGAGTGCACTGTGTTTTCTGCCCTGGTCCCTGCAGTTCAAGAGTAGAGTTGCCGCACTCTTTAACGTTAGCTGCATGGCCCGGCGTGGGAGGGATGGGGAAACCCCAAAACCTCAGTCATCTCTGATGACGAAGTTTGCCTGAGTTGGCAAGTCATTACCCATTCCCAGCTTCGCAGCCTGGGCTGACACAGTGAGACCTGAGTGGGCAGCTAGCTACAAGGGGCGGACAGCTCATGCAGAGAATCGCTGAATTCTACGAGGCAAGAGAACATCCTGGGACAGCAAATCGCAGAGAAACAGCTTGCGGTATCCTGCTTAGCAAAAGGGAGAAGGGGGTGGGTCTGATCAAAATCTACTTTAAATTCACAAATAGGTTCATGCACCTGCATAGAATTCTTTCCCTTGGGTTTCGCCGTTCCTCTCCCAAACCCAGAGGAATTCCCTGTGCTTGAACCTTTTCAATACATGAGACAACTCCAAGTCCTCTTTTCAAAAGACTTGCGCTACGATTTGTATGTCGTTTTATGAAAATATCACCTGATCATGGAGAGAGAGAGAGAGAGAGAGAGAGAGAGAGAGAGAGAGAGAGAGAGAGAGAGAGAAAGGAATACATCCATTCATTAGTGAAATGCTATCCACTGTCACTAACTTAAATTGCTACCAGAACTATTTTTCCCCAAGGCAGTGTCTCCACGTGGTTCTCAGTATTCAGTGACTCTTAATGTTTCATGTCCCAACCATCATCTAGGAAAGCTACCTGTAAGTATACGTTGCTCTCATCTTGGGCTGTGCTTTGGCATGGGAAAGCCAGAGACAAATCCGCAACAAAAGGGCGGAGGGTGTCAGATAGCCTTGGAAACAGCGGATCTGGGGTGCCCAGTAACAAACTGTGTGCGCACATCCTGCAGAGTTATTTTGATGACTCAAAGCTCTGATTGGGGATTATCGAGGACAGCATAGTATGTGCTCCCAAGATGTTGTAATGAAAACTTGAGTCTGATGGAGATATGCGTCATAATCAAGCACTGTACCCTTCCCTTGTAAGCGCTCTCTGTTTTAAATGTTAGCCCTAAGAGTGTAATGTTTAAACTCCCACTGGGCATCTTGCAAAACATCTTACCCTAAACGAATAGCCAAAATCCTGCTTCTCCTGTTACAGCGACCACCTCTCTCCGGGTTACTACCAAAACATAAACCCAAAGGTTTGGGGTTGTTTGCCTTGTTTGTTTCTTGGTTTGGTTTGTTTGTTTGTTTGTTTGTTTTGGTAAGCGTTTAAGCTGGAACTAACTTTTTCCTTCAGCTTTTTATTTTGAAAAAAAAGAAAAATCAGCCAAGGCTATAATCTCCTCACTTGGGAGGCTGAGTTGGAAGGATCACAAGTTCGAGGCTGGCATGAGGTACAGAGCCAGGTCAATGCCAACCTGGATATCATTCTAAAATCATTCTAAAATGGGTATAACTCAGTAGTGAAGCACTTGCCTGGCACACATGAGGACTTAAACCCAAACCACCTCACCACCACACTCAAAAATGGAAGAAAAGGAAACTATCAAAGATTGTGGTTCTTTGATTTAAATATATATCAGTGCTGTGGGGCCTGGGAGGGATCTCAGTGTATGAAACATAGGCCTGAGGCTCTGAGTTCAGATCCATAGTCCCCACACAAAG